CGGTGGTCCCAATGGTTATTGGCACGCTGGGTGTCATATCAAAAAGCCTTGGACGGCACTTAGAAAATCTACACATTGACAAAATTTCATTCTGTCAATTACGAAAGGCGACACTGCCTGTATCTGCACCTATACTACGCTGATACATTATGGCATCCTAGGTTCTTGAGAAGAACTCAGTGTGAATGAAGAACACCATGCAACACCAGCTAAAAAACTGGCAGCTGTGATTTCATGTTGATGTGTATATAATAATAATAATAATTATTATTATTATTATTATTATCATCATCATCATCATCATCATCCATTCTAAACATCTGGCTGACTGTGCAACATTAATAATAATGTTCTAAGAATGTGCAACGTCTTTTTATCCTGTTGTTTTGTTTTGCAAGTTTTTCAAAGGATTACTAACATTTACTCCATGAGCCTCCACCAGCTCTTCTCCCCTGGCCTCACATACTTTTCTCAGAATGGGGACAGCATGCCATGCAAGGACAAAATGCAGTCCTCCACTCAAAAAGAGGGGACATCTTTGCTGATGACCATCATCTTTCTATACACTTCCTTTTTCGTGCCCCACCCCACTTAGGCATGAAAGCCAACTAGGTGACTTTGGGCCAGTCACTCACTCTCAACCCAACCTACCTCACAGGGTTGTTGTTGTGGGAAAAACAAGAGGCAGAAGTATTAGGTATGTTCGCCACCTTGAGTTATATCTATATAAAAAAGGCTGGATAAAAATATATAAATCTAATAATCACCACCACCACCACCACCACCACCACCACCACAACTCAATGAGCCAATTCTGACTATAAGTTAAAGAAAACAACAACTTCAAAGTCATTACTTTCCATGCAGGCAAAGTTGCTTCAAGCTTAAGGTACAGAATTCTGATATACTATGTTTACCTGTATCAATGCTGGGGTCACTTTGGCCTTGCAGTTTTCTGGGAGGTGAAGGTGCTTTGCGCTTTGCCCGCCTTAAAGAAGAATTAACTGAGGACGTGCCACTGAGATGAAGAGAACCTGTTCGCACTATTCCTACTTCTGAGAGTCCCTGGGGAAAAGGTCAGGATGGAAATGAGAATAAAACAGAAACATTCAAGAATGTAGCTGGAGAGAAATCATTAACTGTTAAATGCAAAAACTCTTTCGACATAGTGAAGAAATAACTTTAGCAGCACTAATATCTCCATAAAATAGCTCAGGTATTTTGTCCTATCTGAATCAATTGCCTGTTTCAGATATAACATCAACCAAAGGCTGAGCATTCCTTTGGGGCTATGAAAATATGGATATATTTTCCCCACAAATAAATATAAACAAACAAACAAATAAATGCTAATAATTCATTTAAGTGACCGTAATTTAATCTGAGTAATTTGTAGACATTGACATCTGTCTGGGATCATAAACCTTCACACTCCAGAAACAATGGAAAAGTTACTAGCAGGTCCCAGGAGGCGGGCCTTCTCTGCCGTGGCTCCCGCCTTGTGGAATCTTCTCCCCCCAGAAGTGAGGTTAGCTCCATCCCTCTGCTTCTTAGTTGTTTTTTAATTGTGACTGTTTTAATGTATTTACTGTTTTTAATCAAGTGCTGTACGCTGCCCAGAGTCACTTTTATGTGAGATGGGCAGCTATATAAATATAAATAAATAAATAAAAATAAATTTGCTGTACGAAAATGAAAAATGGCAACCAACTGTATATTTTATTCATCCTAGATTCTATTCTACAGAGCTATATTTAGCTGAGGGAAAATCTACTTGCATGTCGTTCAGAAAAATAAACCTTTAAATGTTACAGTGAGCTAAAGCTTTAAAATCTATCTGCAAGTGCAGACCTTGCTCATTATTTAACAGCGAAGTGGTGGCACTTAGCAGACCTTGGCTGATCTTGAAAAAGCTTGTTTAGTATTTGGATGGGAAAGCACCAGGAAATCCCAGGGTCTGTAGGTTAGCCTGGAAAGTCAAAAGGCTTCCCAGAAGCCAGAAGGGCAAATGCCTTCTATACTGTTACCAAGGAAACAACATGGACATGCCCATATCGCTACTCGATGTTGACTTAAGGAAGACTTCATCTTCAAATTTCTGATTAGCCAGTAAATTCCAAAGCTAAAAAGCAACACTGAACATTAAAACTGAATAACCAATCAACAGTATCACCCACAAGGAAAAAAAAGCAATGTCTCTATTCTGTTATCTGAGACCCAGAAGATGGGATTCCAACCAACTCCTTCATAACAGAACAAAACATAAATAAACTCCTGCATACAGAAAAGCAGTATCCCCACTTCTGAGTTGAAGAGGCAATCCAAAATTACCTCTGGTTGTTCTTTGTGACGCTTGGAAAAAGTGGTATGTGGTTCTGAAACCGTCCGAAACTTTCAGTATCATAAGCAACCTTCTAGAGGTATTGGATTACACCTCCCCAAATGTCTGCCAAACTGGCTGAGAATTCTGGTAAGTGTAGTCCAATACATCTGGAAGGCTATGGCTATGTGGAGACAGTGTTCTTTTTAGCTGGCCTTTCATGCCACTGTCTGATATTACCTCTTTGGCATGGATAAATGCCTCACTACCAAAACTGAGCAAACTGTTCAGCTGGGACAAAGGTGCTTCAGTTTTGTAGTACTGTGCAGTACTGTACAAAGACAATATAGCAACTAACTTTTTATTCTCCTTTTCAGCTACAGTACATCTCAGCAATTATGAGGCAGAGCACAGCCTCAAAACTGTCTGAAAAACAGAACACAAGGACATAGGGGCCAGATAATAAATCCACTGAATTAGTTTATTAGTCCCCCCCACTCTAATTAATGGGGAAGAATGCTGGACTTTCATGAACAAGAGAAGAGATGATGTAGCGAGACAAATGTGGCAGAGAAGTCTGGTCACTGATGATGCTAGCATTGAAAGAGAACTTCCACATTTTACAAAGATATATACAATTAGAAGATGCAATGTGAGAAGCACGGACCAAGAAATAAAGCACAGTAAATTGAAAGTTTTAGACAAAGGTGAACGTAGGTGAGTGGGAATGGGCAACTTTAAACCAGATGATTACATGTATTTTTCAAGATATGAAACCACATCCCGGGCAAGGATTTATCACTGGATTTACAAAAGAGGGTTTCTAAAGCCTTGAAGAAATCTCTGAGATGTGAGAAAGAAAGTTTGAAAGGAGATTCAATCCTATGACAGCAACTTGAGGAATTAAAGATCAAGACTGTCAGAAGCAAAAGAAAGGAATATAAAGCTGACTTGTTTTGATCAGGGTTAAAATATGAAATATTTCTATAAATTCTGAAAACCCTTTATGGACATTTTGCCAATACTCAGACAGAAACAACAATGATTTTTGGATTTTCGAATGGATGGGGGTGGTATGGGAAGAAGTGAATTATATATCCAATCTTATAGGGGGTGGGGAAATATTAAATTTGCCAGCACTTGTTGCAAGGAAGATCGGGAGTCACTTTTTAAAATATTCTTTTTTCTATTTCTTTTCTCTTCCTTTTTCTTTTCTTTTATATTTCTTTTCTTTCTATTTCCTTTCTGATTTCAGTTTGCATTATCTTTTAGTATTGTTAAATTCTTCAATAAAAATACTTCAAAAAGTATTTTTAAAAAAGGATATAAAACCATGTGAAGGAATGGAATGGCATAATACTCAAGGAGGAATATGTGCTCCACTATATCTCAAAAAACAATAGGATCATATCTATTAAAATTAGTGGATATTCAGTTAATATCAATGTTATAGAATTTACAGTGTTGTACTGCACATAAAATGGAGAAAGGCACAGAAAAATGTTTTGACAAAGTATAAAGTTTTTAAATGAAACATCTAACAAGGGCATAATAGTACTACTAAGTTATTAGAAAACCAAAGGTAGAATTACTTGGCCAGAGTAAGGTCAATAATGCAGGAGGTAAGTTAGAGTTTTGGGAAAAGAATTTTTTTTTATTATTGCAACATCTGCTGCAAGGAATATAAATACAGATATAAATATTGGACATCAATGGATAGGCTACACAGGAATTAAATTAACTACACAATAGGAAATAGAAAACGGAGAAGTGTAATTCAGTCAGGCAGGCCATTTCCAGGTGCACATTGTGCAAGAGACCGTGAATTATTGCCATTAATTATTAATATCATATATTTAGGAAAGTAGGTTAAAGTAGGGAAAGTAGCAAGATTTGATCTGGAAGACATTCAGTCAGAATGTAAGAACAATCTATGGAACAGAGTCAGTGATTGCAAAAGAGCAGCTGAGGAGCTAAACACAGGGATAAGAGACATGTGAGAACCAAAATAGAAAAACTATTGCAAACATTTTACTGAAGAAAAAATCCAAGTGGCTTTCAGAACAAACTATCATGATTTTATTTCCCACTATGGTGGTGGAGCACACAATCACCATTTTGAATGTGGCCTATCAGCAACCCTTATCTGAAAGCAGTAGTTGAGTGGAGACTTGATTTGAAGACCCTTGTTGTTGTTCAGTCGTTAAGTCATGTCCGACTCTTCGTGACCCCATGAACCATATCACGCTAGGCCTTCCTGTCCTTCACTGCCTCCCTGAGTTTGCTCAGTTTCATGCATGCTCATTGCTTCAGTGATGCTATCTAACCATCTCATCCTCTGCTGTCCTCTTCTCTTTTTGCCTTCAATCTTTCCCAGCATCA